TTATGAGCATATTTTGTCATTGAATTTGGAGGACGAGGTGTTTGGGTGTTCGGCATCAGACATCCTATTCCCATAGCACACTATAAAATAACTTCAAGAGATGAGACCTGTTGTTGGCTCTTTCACAGCATGGAAAATCATATGTAACTTCTAATGTGTCTCCATTACGAGAACATAAAACGATATCGATACCAATTAGGTGATGCTAAGCAGCCTCTTTTAAAGGTTCCCAGACTCTGTAAAGACAGTTCCTCCACCTTGTATATTTGCTTACCGTCTTGACTGAATGAAATTGACTGTCTCCACACTACTCCTACGCATCCCTCACTGTCCTTGACTGGAGGTCAGATTTCACCCCGCACAGAAGTGCTACGTCAGACCTATTGAATATACCGCAGCAGTGTACATTTAAATGTCCTTAGCTGCACTCTCTCACTATCTGCTTTGACAGATTATGGATGAGTGCGTAGTCCCTGTCGCCTTAACATATGTCATCCGCCTGTCACGCTTGATTACGCAACAAGCTGCCCCACTGGTCAGAAGCCTGGGGGCAAAAATGTGTGACATGCCAACTGTGGCGTGTGTCAAATCTCTGCTATTCGTTGACCATAAGAATTAACCCCGATTTGTTTGCCCTCACCTTACTTATGTTCGATAAAATCCATTTAACCAACAATGTGGCATTATCGTCTTGTGCTACGTGCGGCTGAGTGTGAGTAATCCGTCGTGACATAGAAGTTTCCGACCTTGACGACCGCTCCTCGCTTGCAGACCGACTGATCGAGCCGCGTGTGTTACCGTCTCATCAGTTTACGAAGGCATGTGTTGAAGGAGGCCAAACATTCAAATAAGCTCGGCCACATCTGTGCTACACGATGGCACCCAGCAGGACCTTTCCTCCCGCCCCAGCTGTCACAACACCGACAGAGATGAAAAGACGCGACACAAAAGGCGAGCGCTGGTTATTTAACAAGGAAATAGGAAGCCGTACTGAAATGGAAACAAGGGGACGGAGGTGATCAATGCTAGTTATTTAAAAAATCCAGCCACAGGGATGATAAAAATGTGCCTGTTTGTATATTTAGTTCAGTTAATTTGTGCAGCCAAATGTAATCCGAAACAACTCTTCCCTGTGATTTTAGCTTGGCATCCTATAACTATAAGAGTGGCAAGTCTGCTTGTGCTGACAGATGTTTTTTTTTTCTGGGCTTTCTAAAGCCAAATACCACATGAGCAAAAATGTAAGGCCTGGATGAAATAGTGTGTTTGCTTGGTCTAATGTAGGCTGCAATCGTTAGCTTGTGTGGTCAGCTAGCCGCTACCTAAAATAACCCCTGTTTTCGAGGTCAGTGAGTACATCAGCCACTATGCAACAATCGGCCACAACATTAAAACCGCTGACGAGTGAAGTCGATGCTATTGATCGTCTCGGTACAACACAACGTTCTGCTGGGGAACCGTGGATCCACGTGGATGCTAATGAGCCCCACCACATTGCAAGAACGCCTCAGGATCAGCTCGAGGAACATGACCAAGAGTCCAGGCTCCCAAACTTCCCAGATCCCACAACCCGCAGGATCTAACGGATCTGCTGTTGACATCCTAGTGCCAGACACAACAGGACACCCTCATGTTGTGGAGTTGATTTTAATGTTGTGACTGATTGGTGGATTATCCCATTATATGGAAACTGGTCCTGCATGTAATTATGCCTGTATGAGTGTAGGCTAACATTAGCAGTCTTGTCTTTTATTGGATCTGGGCAAGTTTGCGGTCTCGCAATTCCAGCCAGAATTAGTTGGAGTAGTTACATTTAGCGTCATCTTCAGTCGCAGTGTGCATAGTACAAGTACTAAACCAATGAAATGTGGTTTAACATCCAACCAGAAGTGCAAAAAAAAGCAGTAAAAGTGCAGTGCGATGAAAAATGTGTAGGTGGACTAGCTTTAGGGGCATTATGAAGAAGACACAGTATGAGCAGTATTACGAGTATTAACAATATAAACAGGTATATGCGTGTCCAAGATTTAATGTATGTAGTATGAAGTATGGGTATTTACAGGATGATACAGCATTAAGAGATGAACTAAGTATAAGAATAGAGCAGGCATCCAAACATGCTTGTAATGAAAGTGAAAGCTGCTTAAAAAATTATGTTAGAATGGACTGATGTTATATGTTCCTTGTAGTAAAAACACTGAAAATGTCTTAAAAAGCAAGAACAACAGAGATTCTTTATTTCCTTTTGGATCATCAAGATGCCAACTTTTTGCATGAGACATGCTGCTTAATGTTATATACAATATTGGTGCATCAAGTCAGCGGGCAAAATCAATAGCTGCCATCCAGAAATGATACAGTAAGTCTCCCCTTGTGCAAGTTCTGCTTATCAGATGTACTGAAAGTCCATGTGATACGCAAGTTCCTCATGTTTCTCAAGCCTGGCATTACAAATAAGACCATTGTTCACTGTCTCGTGGATTTCAAACTAGTTTCCCAGGTAATGAGGGAATCCAGGCTGTTGCATCCTGCTGCCATCGGAACGTCTGACCTTGGGATGGCTGGTTATAAAACTTTTCACACTGCTACCACCTCTGATCACTAATAAACAAGCTTTTCCATTCATGTAAGAGCCAAAGATTTTTTTTTTTTGGTCATTATTACACAATTTGTTATTGATTCTGACTGGCTTAGTGAGACAGACTCTTCAGCCGTCGATAGCTCGTGTTTGTATTGATATTTTGGAGGACACATGCTACATTGGAGTGGCTGGGGACGAGTCCAGCTCTATTCTGAGCTCTATGAGGTCAAACCAACTTTTCCTGTAAACGACAGATGCACACACAGTCTTCCACGCAACTCAAGACCAGATAAAAAAAATAAAAAATAGATATAGTAACAGAGAAACTCTGCTGATTGAGATCTGTCGCATCTTCCTGTCGAGGGTTTATGAGGGAGGTGAGAAGTCGAGTGTTGCTCTTGTTTCCAAAGAGGGTGAAATGCCATTGCTGATTAAAATCTTCAGTACACTGAGGTGTTAGCAGTGGCCCGCACGTAGATGATAGATCATCACCCACCATCTCATCTGTGTTTTCAGTCATATTTCTTCATCAGTTGTTGCATAAGGTGATATACTGAGGATTTCTGTAGGGTTTATTCCTACTTAACCATCTCTGAGTCTACTTGGGTCAAAACAATCACATTTATCAATTAGGTGGTTAGTTAGATAGCCAGTCGTTCACAAGTTCCTAAAAAATCCCAACAACAAGCGAAGAAAGTGAAGGTGTCAGTGAGTACAGTTTGCTTTACCACCAAAAGGCACTCAGATGCTGGGGGAAACTCTTGACAGGAAGAGGTCTGGCAGACCTAAAGCCACAACAGAATCAGAAGACAAGTTTCTGAGAGTCAACAGTTGGTGTGATAGGTGGCTCACAAGACAACAGCTGCAAGCACAGCTCAATAGTGGTCGTAGTAAGCAAGTCTCAGTTTCAGCTGTGATGAGCTGTTGTCGAGCTGCAAGTTTGACAGGTCGAGTTGCAGGAAGAAGACTATTGCTAAGATGTCAGAATGAGAAAAAGAGGCTCGCCTGGGCCATGAAACACCATCAATGGACTCATGAAGACTGGAAGAAGGTGTTATGGACTGATGAATCAAAAGTTGAACTCTTTGGTTCATCACGCAGGGTTTTTGTGTGCCGTCGAGTAGGCGAAAGGGTGGTTCCTCAACTGTCAAACATGGAGGAGGAAGCGTGATGATCTGGGGCTGTTTTTGCTGGATCCAGGGTCGGTGACTTGTACAGAGCGAGAGGCACCCTGAACCAAAATGGCTACCACAACATTCTGCAGCATCATGCATCTAGTTGGTCAGGGGTTCATCCCACAGCAAAACAATGAGGCAAAACATAAGTCCAAGCTATGCCAGGACTACCTTTGGAAAAAAGAACAAAATGGTAAAACATGGAGTGGCCATAATAGTCTCCAGACTTGAACCCCCATTGGGCTGATTTGGGATGAACTAGACTGAAGAGTGAAAGCAAAGCAACCACACATTTATAGAAAATGTAATATGTTTGTTAGTGAGTGCTAAAGGTGCTGGTAGGAATCTATTAATACCATTTGGACATTCGCCAGTCGGGCTGTTTCCCAGTCTTTATGCTAAGCTAAGCTATCAAACAGAACTGCAGCACTGACCTTCTGACCTGACTCTTGTCAAGAAGGTGAATTTAGATGCTTCTCAAAACCTTTTACAAAGGATCACAGCACTCCAGCAGAACGTGTGAGGACTGCACTCACGCCTTTAGACTCTGCTGCGCCTATTTGCACTCATAAATATGTGCAAAGGTACAGAGAACATTTGATAAAATCTCTTTTTTTTTGCTGATAATGACATCAGTGAATTTCCAAGTGCGTATATAGGTGGAGTTAGAACGTTCATCTATCATACGAGAAGGTTAAAGATACATTTCCCTACCTTTGACATTAACTGTAATCTCACCAGCCTACATGGTTTAGAGTTCAACAGCATGTACGCTTAAAGTACAGCATGCTTTAAATGAGTTGATCTGCAAGCTGTTCCTTTGACGAATCACTTAATCAGTTGATTTATGTTGCAGAAAAAAAGCTAATTCAGTTTCTTTGTTGTCATAAAGGCACAATATGCAAAAAATAAAAGCACACTTTGTAATTTTTACAAGCTTTAATCTGATAAAAACACACTATAAAGCAAATTAAAGTAATAAAAACAACACATAAATCAGTTACTGGCAGATAATCTTTTAACAAGTATTTAATTTGTGATTGCGTAACATGGTAGTTGCGATCCTGGTCGGAGTCCCACAGAGGAATTTACAAGAACAGCTGACTGCCGGCATGCCAGAGATGACTTTAGGCCCGATCCACTTGCAAAATATATAGACCTCAGCATGTAATTATGACAGTAACACAACATTATAGACCGATTTGTATACAGCAAGAACAAACACACAAAACAGGAGACACGTGTTAGTCATAAAATAGATTTATTTAACTAGTAAAACGTCCACTTCCAAAATAGAATGACAACAACACATACTCCTGGGACGGCCCTAATAGTGATTGGCATAAGGCGATTTTGTTTTTATTATTATTTACAATCTGACTGGAAACACATCTCTTTAGCCAAACATCTTCAATGTTTCAGAAATGCATACAGAGGTCTTCTTCAGGGCCTCACGTGGTCTTTTGTTAATTATTCACCCGTGCAGGGTCTGACACCACAATGACACTATAATCTTGTCTGTTGGCAGGTTTCTTTTTCTTTCATTGGCTTCCCTAGCAGGGTCGTTCCTTCCTTGGCTTTGTGCGTTAGCCACTACGGCATCACCCACAAAATGACTGTGCGTTTTTAAGCATTAGCACTCCACACACTGAGGTGTGAAAAAAACAAAACAAAAAAAAAAACACATGAAGGGCTTTTTCTCCACGTTACAATTCATTTCACAAAGGAGGATTAGTCTTCTCTATTGCTGTATGATCAGGGCTTCAAGAGCAGGAAGAGATTTTGGTTACAAAACATAATTTAGGAATCACTTAAGACTTATTTTGCATAAGCTTTCAGGCTAAAAAAAAAAGACATAATCCATCATAATAATAATAATATTAATAATAATACAAACACGACTTGGGATGACAAGCACAAATGAAAAAAATCTGAAGATGCAAAAACAGAGAAATAAGTCACTGTCATGGTGTTCGGCAGCTAGCATCAGCAGCAGACATCATCACGCCCTTTGTTGTACAACTCAGATCAATAAGCAGGTCAGTGCCTATAGGCATCATGTCTGCGTGTTGCTGTGTGTGTGCAACGCTGTGCATGTGTGTGTGTGCGTGAGCCAGAGGGGGATTTTCTGAGTCAATCGGTTGTGATGGAGGCGGCTGCAGCGTTTCATTAAGCCGCTGTGATGCAGAAGCTGGCAGTCGGTCAGAGATTACACACACAGACTGGCAGTGCTGGAGTCCTGCGTGTCTCTTTGTGTGTCTTTTTACTCGCGCCGTACCCTCCTCGCAGATGGTGTAATAGTTGCCCACCGCGAATCGCTTCTGCTTCCTGCTAGCTCGAGAGCACCATTTTGACTATAATTCGTTTTTCATCCTCGGAGTGGGCGACACACAAAAAAAACAAAAAAACACTGATAGCAAATGCAGAATCCTGGTGAGTGTGTCGCAGCCACCGTGATGTGTTTGTCTGTTAAAAATAAATTACAACAGGGGTATTTTTGCTGGCTTGTTACACACATAGAAACAGAGATGCAAATCCTGCAAGCGCTCCGTCTCACGGGTTCGACAGCCCAGCGCTGACAGCAATGGGCCACGAGGAAATTTATTTCTTTTATGAACTGGACGGAGAGAGATATGTGTGCTTTGTGGCTCACTGCAAGAGAGGTAACTCTGGGTGTCGCACTATTATTGGGAGGGGGGGGAGGAAGGGGTTGAGAGGGCAACAGGGCAGAAAGGGCAAAAGAGGGGGAAGGGTTATTACTTGAAGGAAGCACGGACAGGGCGACCCTTGAGCGGCTGGGGAGGGCGGTAGTTGTCCACCATGCAGCACTCGGCTTCGCCCTCAGCGGAGAAGAGCAGGCTGCGGAATTTGGCCATCTGTGAAAAGGGAGAAGACGACGGAGGCGTTAGTCATTCCTGCTGACCCCCTGTGACTGTCACTCACAAAACACATCACTCGTCCCGCCGCTGAGTCACGGCTCTGAGTTCAGAGTCTTCCCCTGGAGAATTCATCAGTTTTATTGCTCGGCTTCATTTATATGGCACCTATGATGCAAACACGCAGCTCAAAGTGCTTCACATAGCAAGAATAAAACGACAAGAAAGTGTTGCAAAAGGGTTAAAAATAAAAGATAATATAAGGTGCAAAGGTTAAATATAGTGTTCGGCTATAATATTACTTCATATTAAAAGTTAGATTTAAAAGATAGTTAATTCACACTGTGTTGTGTGTAAACAAGAAATGTAAATGTATGTAAATGCTTATTTGTTATTTGAAAAGACTGATCCCACTATCATGTAGCTACAGCTAGCAGCCGGTTAGCTTAGCTTAGCATCTAGAGCGGAAACCAAAGGAAGTAGCTAGTCGTAGTGTCCAAGGTTAATTCCCACTGTTTTTGCTTCAACAAGAAGTTCGACTTTTTGTAAATGTAACCAAAATTTTAAAGTAATCTTTAGGTAATATTAGCAAAACTACTTTTGGATAAATTAAGTGTAAAAAAAACTTAATTTGCAAGTCCAGCATTTGAAGTTTTTGTTTGTTGTTGTTGTTTTCAGCAGGGTAAGTGTCATCAAATAAATGCATATTGGAGTAAAGAAAAAAAAAACCCTTCATATGAATAGAAACATAAATATTTTCTGTACTTACACCTATTTGTAATAGAAAGAGATTTGAATCGACATAAAACACGTTAAATATTCAGCTTTATATGTATAAGTCGGTAGATTTTGTTACTTCTGGTTGCAGCTTGGCTAGCTGTCCCCCCGTTTCCATTCTTTATGCTAAGCTAAGCTAACAAGCTGCTAGCATTAGCTTCACATTACCGCACACGCATGAGAGTGGTTTCAAAATCCTTATCTTTTGGCACGCAAGAGGAGTTCAGTGTATTTCCCATGATACCAAACTATTCCTTTAGGTTATGGAGGCTATGATCAAAAGGTCAGTGAGCACAACTTATTAACTCTTACTAACGAGTCCGTTCATGCTAATTACACTGCTCTGGTCACATTAGTATAACATGCATAGTGAGTTACTTTTTACTACTGGGATGAAATAATTCAGCTGGTAGGTCTCACAATAAGCTGATCAATAATCGTTACCTCTTTGTTATTATCTACTGGACCAGCTAATATAGCACGAAGTCTAAAGGTTATGTCCACACATGTCACATGTTTACCCTTGAGATACCTGCTCACCGCCATGAAATAAACATTCGACCAGGCAGTGTTAATTTTCACATGGCCTGAACACTCCAGCCACAAGGACAAACCCCACTAGAGGCTGTTAGTTAAGATTAATGGGCGGTTAGAGGTCAAATATCCATTTCAGTGGTACCATTAGGTGTAATTTTAGGATTAAATACAAAATGCTAGCATGAGTTTACTGCGTTTGCTTAATTAAGTGGTTGAAAACACTCTCACTGCAGCTACATCCCTTCACCTGCAGACTGTGATGCATGTGTGGGGTGAATATTTCCTGTTGACTTTCATGCTGACTGATACACTGTGGTGAGGCGACCTGCAACTGTGTGAACTTTTGTTTTTACTCATCGTCATGGTCAGCTAGACGTCTTTTTTTTTCCCACTTTGAAAGTGAAATACTGTGCTGTATTGCATTTCCTTCATCACAGAGGTTTCTTCTTCTCGTTTCGGCCGCGCAGTTAATCTGAACAATTAAGCCCTTGATTTAGACAGAGAGGATTTGCAGACGGGGCTATTCTAGACTGTGGGCAGGACGCCAGTACTGCTGCTACTGAATGGGCTCTGTTTGCAGACTAACCTGAGCAGAGCTGACGCTGATTGGCTCCTTGCAGACGATCCAGGTAACGCTCTCCAGCAGAGGGGGTGTGGTCAGAGAGCCATCATAAGTCCAGTAGTCAAGGCAACCGGGGAGCAGGGTGGCGGGGTCGAAGTTAGCAAAGGAGCTCTGCTTGCCCTGGAAACCACACAAAAAAACCGACAACAGGTTAATAAATTATCCTGTCATGAGGAAACGTGAGAATATGTGGTTGTCGCAGAAACATACTTTGTTCCTGATGACGTTGAAAGCGTCAAGAACCTTCTGGAGGGCGGCGTTATCAGCACCGGCCTGAAAAACAATAATAAGCCATGTTAGCTTCTGTGTAATGTTTTGAGTCATGTACTGAATATATTCTCGGACCTTCACTGCTCACCTTCAGGAAAACTCCAACAACAGCGAGCCCATCAGGCTGGCTAGCAGCTTCACCGAAGCTCGCGTATTTGGTGTTCCAGTGCACCAGATGGAGCTAGAAATCAGAAGAGAAACACATTTGCGAGGATCCACTTTAAGAATAATGGACATCCTGTCGCTTCTGGAGTGTTTAGCAATAATGTAAAGCAGGTGATAGAGTGATATTGTTAGAGAAATAAAATATATTGCTTGAAGAATGTTTTTGGACGTATTAACTTGACCTAACATTTTAAGGAAAAGTGTCATAAAAATTATTTTAAAGGGGAATCAACACATATATTGGCCTAAATTTGTACTTAAGCATTTCTCTGAGGTTAAATAGCCTTATAGGTTGAGATAAAACTCAAGCAATAATGCCACCTTTTCTGGCAAAACAACTACTAACGAGCAAAAAGGGCCAAACGTTTCCTTCCTCTTTGCCAGTTAATAAACCAACAAACATAGTAGGAAACAAAAATTGTTCTATAATTGGCTCCATCATTACTCTGAGAATCCCAAAGGTCATTTGCTCCAACCATTATGGTTCAACCCAGCCAGTTGAGATTTGTTCTTCAGAACAGTTGTACTTGAGGTTTTGGTTGACAACCGACGTAATATAATTAAAAGCTCTAATTGGCCCTTATCTCCTCATGTCAACCTCAATCTATCCTGGACCGAAGCTGTCTGAGTTCATCATAATGATCCAGAGCATCCCTACCTCAGCAGGGTATTTGGTCCCGGCCACAGTGTGCTCAGAGCCCCTGTCATCAGAAGCCCCCCAGTGGAAATGAAACTGCTTGAGCCTGTAGACGCCAGAGATCGGTCCATCTGTCAGAGCTGCAGAGAAGAAGAAAAAACAAAAAAACCTCATCAGTTCTGCAGTCAGCCATTTGATTAATGCTTTGACTGTGTCCTACTTGCATGCAAATATTTTTTTAAAATATCATCCTGAGCAGAAAATACAAAGAACTGGTGGACAGGATGAACAAGATGCGATACACACATGTCACCGTGGCACACTTCCTACTTCATGGAAGCAGACTCAGTTCCTGTTGTGTAAGCTTTGGCCAAACTGAGGGTCACATTCAGTCTGAATAATGCTCAGGTATTGTTAACATCAAACCTCCTTTCAATGTTACATAATGTGTCTATTTGCAGCGTACAAAGTCGGAGATAATCCTGTACGTTGTTCTATTTCTGGTGCAATGCCACCAAATACTGAGACACACTCTGGCCTCTCAAAACAGGATATTTATCTCTCCGTTGTCTGCCTCAAATGATAACAAGGAATTTGAATTTGTGTGCACCTTAAAGGGATTATTTTACACAACTAAAAAGGAAGCAGTGACATTTTCCACAGCCCACACATGATGTCTGACACGTCGGGCAGACTTCTTTATTTAGAAGGGAAAAAAAGTGCACGAAGGAAGAATAAGACACGACTCATCTAGCTCTGAGCAAAGATGCTTTTGTTTTTTTTCCAATTCTGCGTGTCCACTAGGAAAATAATCCTTGTGTCGATTACGTAACCGCATTCTTCATTATCCTATATCGGATTGAGCTAAAGGACAACCAATCACCATAGAGCCCAAAATCCCGAACATAAAAGCAGCACAAATATATTTTTTCTTGTCTCTTTTGATGTTAAAATATAATCTGAATGCAAAAACAATTGAACAAAAGAAGGGGAAAAAATGAAGCAGCCTTCAATTTCAAACAAGGGAATAAAATGAGTCTTTTTTTTCCAACAGGGAACATATTAGTTAAGCAGTGTATTTGCAGAGTAACCTTTGTTTTTGTGCTTTTGACCTCTTTGCCAGCAGGAAAAAAGAGTTGGCGTGGGAAAGGTTTGCAGGGGTTACATTACCAATTCAATTACGATCTGCGTGCTTTGTGCTTTTGGGCTTTTGAATAGAACTCCTGCAGCCTATTCAATAAAAAAAAAAAAAAACCTTCTGATGGCAAAAAACACACATTATTTATTTAAAATCCAATAAAAAATCTGTGCGTCACTAAAGCCCTATAGGCGCCAATGCATCTGGGGCACATGACTCATCCCTATTAATGTAAGCACAACATTAATATGCTGCTGGTCTTAAGCTGGTGTCTGTTTAAAGCTGCAGAGCCAACACACAGCAGCCATGCATTAACGCTCAATGCAGCATTCTGCAGGTTACTGCATCCTGTCAATCAACATCAGGACCTGGATTGTCTTTGTTTGCAAACCTGCATCCAAGAATCCTAAAGCTCCCATGTTGTATTTTTTTTGCAATAGTAGAATTTCTCCAGATTAAGAGAAAATATTCAAACATCAATTTTCCCCAGTCAGATTCTGGTGCAACCTGCAGCCCTGTGCAATCAGCACAGTATTAATATCACACTAACTTGAGCTGTCGGAGTCATCTACGAAGGTCACTTGGAAGGAATGTCCGTTGTTGAGGATCTCGAGGCAGGTGGAAGGGTCGTACTTGATCTTGAGAGCCTTCAGCCCCCCGTCGAAGGATGCTTCGCCAGGTACGATGTCAATGGGAGACTGACGGGGTCCATTGGCAATGGGGAAGTTATCAGCCCATTTGTCGGGTCCTGGAAATGATATAATGATAACATTGTGATTAGTAGAATATCAGAACATCGGGTGTTTTATTGCGCATTTTGGAGACGTGGATGTGCTTGAAACGCGCGTAAAAATCACACAAATGCACAGAATAATCATAATAAATAATAAAAAAAAATCTCTGCAGTGACCGGTGTCTGCACTGTCCTTCCATTCATTCCCCTGCCGGTTTTTTTCTCTCTCCTTAAACACAATGTCACCCACATAACCGTGCGTGCAAATGAGCGCCTCACCGTTGTTCGCTGCGTATCCCCAACCGTGAGCCATTGCTACAATTTGGATCTATGAGTATGTCGAGCTGTAAATCCCCTAAAGCGAGTCGCTTCCCCCACAGTGCAGAGCAGCCAGTGTCCTCCACCTGACAGCTGCAGAGCTTATATAGGGTCCCCTGTGTGCGGTGTGTCTGTCAGGCTGGTGTTGGCCACATTATGTCCGCGCAGTGACCGGGAGGAGTTTAGATGCGCCGCAACGCCGCAACACTGTGGATCAATGAGGAGCTCTCTCTCTCTCTCACTCTCTCTCTATGTCTCTCTCTCTCTCACGGTCTCTCTCTCTCTCTCCGGTGCTAAAGTCTCCACTGACAGGCAGTGAGAAGCTGCGTATTCCTCGATCAACGTGCCGATGAGCGCGTTTTCACTGAACCTGTCAGAAAGCAACATTCAAACCGAAAGCTCTGACTTTACGCAAACCCCCCCTTGTAAATGTGTAACATACTCGTGCAAAAAAAGATAAAAATGCACACACAGTTATTGCATAACATCACTTGGCACAAGTGTTACAAGTTGAATCACACATGGAGGTGTTAGAATGAAAAAATAAAGCATTAAATAATTCACAATTCACTATATTTATTATGGAAAATCAAACTGTGCAGCATCAGTGGGAACAATGGTTGTCTGGCTTCAACACTGTAGCTCATTGGTGTCTTTTCTTGCCAGATAGGAGTCAACAAACACCAGAATCTAATAATGCAAAACACACATTGCATGGAAAGCATGGAAATATACAGCTAAGGACAGGAACGGAGAGTTATCTGACTGCACAGCTCAGCAGGGCAGATAACAAAAAGCTGAGGGCCTCCTTTGTGCACTATTTGTCTATCAAGTGTTGCTTGTATATGCGTGAAGGTAAACCTACTCAGAAAATACCCAAATGACTTCAGCCATGCAGCCTGTAATCCATGTTTAAATGTGCAAAGTTTGCATGAAAAACAATGTAAAGGTCAAATTTTGGGAAGAGGCAACAACCATAACTGTGCTTCAAATGTTGCATGACAGCAACAATAGCGGATTAAAAGCACTTCAGACAGAAATAACCTAATGTAGTGCTGGATAATGATTTTATTCTCTCATTTATGATTAGGTCAGAATCACACATCTCTCTCCACAATCTCCAGCAACTGTTTGATTGCATCCTAGTGGCAACAACAGCTCACTGTACAATGACATATTGAGGTTATTGAGAAAATCATACAGTCTGTGGTGAACACAGCTGCGGTGGTGTGATGGTGCCACCTGCTGTCTATCAATGAGACCACAAGGCTGATTAAAGATCATAGTAGTGCGTCTTTTTCATCCCTGTGCAGCTTTAATGGGCAAATAAACTCGCCCAACACCTAGAAACCAAATTCATTTTAATTCAATAATAATACAGTTAAATGGAGATTGCATAAACAGAATTTGGGGTGTTCTCCCAAATTGCAATTTATTAAACAATTTACTGTTATTTTACAGATGTTCCCTGTTTTGTTAAATTACAGGTGATAACAAGTAAAATCAAAGTAGAAAAATGTACATCAGCTGAAAAAAAACAGGCTAAAACTGTAAATAACATCTGCAATAAAAATCTGCATATTTACAAATGGCTATTTGGTCTTTTAAAATGTGTGACCGTAAAAGTGATTTATTGTATTTAAATGCACAAAAAAATCACTATTTTTTAAACATATTTCCTTTTTTTTTAGCATCTTCTGAAGTTTTCGAATGTTATATTATATACAGTTTTTTTTTTAATGTATTATTTTCTGGCACTTTTGCTGCTGCATTCAAAGTAAATTTTAAAAAATCGTTTCATACAAATATGTTTGACATGTATGTATGTATATTTGGTCATAAAAACAGACTATTCTAAATGTATTCAGACCAGAAAAAAAACCTCAAAACATTTCACAGATATTTCCTTTAAGTAGAAAGAAAACATATCTACATTCTTTTAAACGGTATAGATTTTCTCTGTTTTGCTAAATTACAGATATCTTATAAATTGAAGGAAAAAAGTATTACTTTACGTGGTAACTCTTTAAAAAATACTATAAAAAATATATTTTATTTTTTACAAATATTACTTTATTCTTTTACTATGTGTATCTGTAAAACGACACTGATTTACTGGATTTTAATTAGTTCAAAAATGTCATTGTTTTCCAGATATTTACTGTGATTTTCAACATTTTTCCACCATTTTTTAAAAACATATTTCTTCCGGTTCTATTGCTGCCTGACTTTCTTTCTTTTTTTCTTTTTTTTTTTTACAGTGTAGAGTCACAAAACGTGTTATTTAAATGTATTAGGTCAATAGTGAGCAAACTGGCCTAACCACCGTCTTATTTTGTGTAAGCAGCCATTTCTGTTGTTGTTGTTGTTGTTGTTACATATATATTTTAAAATCATATTCTAACACTTCTAAAAACCTCTGAAACGCCGTGACGCTTCCCTGTGCAAATGCCAGTTTGTTCCAGAGTAAGGTCCAACTTCTATTTTTGACAGAGGTAAAAGGTAACAGACAGAGACGACGTGAACACATGAGTTTTCTGATATTTTTACCAGCTGAGACCTTTCACGTCGCCGCGCCGCAGACAGACAGACAGACAGGTGGGAGTCCACAGCCGTCGCACACAACTGACGTCACCAAGGAGGCACGTTAGTTGTCGCACATCAGGATTTCAGCCCCGCTCCTCAAACAAGGTCAGTAAACGTGTTTGTCTTGTCTTTAAACTGTACTGCTGTTACTCTGTTTGGTGGAAAATAACGCCGTTGGGTATAACAAAGTATTTTACTTTGAAAATGACAACGAACACAGCAGTGTGTGTGCAGTAAAGCAGGACGGAAGGCAGCTAACAACAACATGTGGATGGTCGTGACTTGTTTTAGCAGACCTAGCGTTCACCCAGAGGAACGTTTTGATAGTCATTTAAATTGTTCTTGATGTTTATTCACTTTTAAAAGTGGATGCCTTGTTGGCACATTGGGACTGTTCTGCCAAAAATTGATTCTAGCTGCTTGTTACAGTTATAATGTCCCATTTATTTCGCTGCTTCTGTTAAAGTCTCACAGAAATGAGCTTTTTTGCAGCTATCTGCATGTCTGTGCATCGTTTTACCTGCTTTGTACCCTGGATTAGAACTAATCTAGTGGTTTTACCAGTTGAAATAACTTTAGGATCATTCTAACTTAAATTATGAGACATCTGCTCAACCATCTCTGATTTGTTTAGAACATTTCTGTCCTAAAATATGGATTATGACAATTGTATATGTGAAAATTTTAAATTGATATAACAAATACTTTCAGAGATTGGATGCAACTCTATACGTGTCTTCAAAACTGATTTTCTTATTTAAATTTTGAGTTTTTGTGATCTACCCTGGTTGTGGGTCAACAAACATGTTTGATCTCAGAAAGTATTAAAGCATATCAGGCTTTCATTTCCCAGATATATTTATAAATACACATATTTAATGTTATAACTGCAAATCAGACATTTAAAATAAATCCCTCTCAAGTTGTCCCATTGCTGTCCTCATCCTTGAATGCAGCATGCTGAAAACAAATATGCAACTCATTTTTATCCGGCTTTGTTTTTTATCTGAGACACATGCTTTCAATTTCATATCAAGCAAAACGCCTAACAGTGACTCTTGCATACATAAAATCTTTCACCGCAGTGCCTCCTTCTACATTGCATTCATTTTGGCAGACGATTTTCTCAAGAGCAGCCTATTTCGGTTTAAGTTTCAGACAGTGATTCTGCAATCAACCCTGCAAGTAATTTCCAATCACTCACCACCTGAGGTTCAGCTGCTATTATCATTATGACAACTAGTGCGGTAGTGCTTGTTTTATTGGTATCGAAATACTGGTGAAGAGGAACGTTTGGATCGCAGACACCAGGCGGGAAGAATTTACATATAAAACGCTGCCATCAGCTTCTCACAGCCTAAACTAGAATGTGCTGGTGCATCTAAAAAGCTAGTTTAGTACACTCAGAGTTGAACACATTTTGGACTCCTTACATGTAAAATTAAATGTTTCAAGCATTTTTTTTTTGGTTTTAATCTTGATAATTATGGCCGACAGCTCAAAACATGTGAAAGTATTGGAATATTTCAATTTGAATTTGTGTAAATTACTGTTCAAACAGTGTAAATTCCGTGTATCTCTCGGTCTAGTTCAGTACACCATCATGGGGAGGGCTCCTGACTTGTCAGAAGCCCAGAAGGACATCATCGACACCCTCCACAAAGAGGGTCGGCCGCACAAGTTCATCGCCGAAAAGGCCGGCTGTTCGCAGAGCTCCGTGTCGAAGCACATCAACGGAAAGTTGAGCGGAAGAGACAAGTGCGGGAGGAAAAGGTGCACCAGCAACAGAGATGACCGCAGCCTCGAGAGGCTTGTCAAGGAAGGTCCGTTCAAGAACTTGGGAGAGCTTCACAAGGAGTGGACCGAGGCTGGCATCAATGCATCGAGAGCCACGGCGCACAGACGCCTTCAGGAAAAGGGCTACTACTGTCACTTTCATAGCGCAGGTGCATCTCAAAACAACCAGAACTTCATCACAGAGTTCATTTTTTTGTAATTCAATTTGGAAAAGTAGTGGTGCATCTCAGACAGTTAGAATATTGTGGAAAAATTTAACATTTAAGAGTGAGAATTTCATATATTCAAGGCTCATTACATGTAAAGTAAAATGTTTCAAGCATTTTCCTTTGTGATTTTGACAATTATGGCCTAGGGCTTCAATAATGCTTAAAAAACATATTACAAAATATTGGAATACTTCATTTTGACTTTAAGTAAATTACGATTCAAACTCACTCTAGTTTAGATCAAACAGCTACCATCACTGTGATGACTGTTGAGTTAAAAATCGTCCAGAAGAAGCTCATCAACATCCTCCACAAGGAGTGTAGGCCATAGAAAGTCATCGCCGAAAAGGCTGGCTGCATCGGAGCATGTAAATATGAAGCTGACTGGAAGGTGAAAGTGTGGAAAAGGTGCACAAGCAACAGGGGTTGTCAAGAAAAGTCGATTCAAAACATGGGAAAGCGTCACAAACAGAGGACGGAGGCTGGTGTCAGTGCATCAAGAGGCGCCCATCGCAGACATCTTAAGGAAAGAAGCTACAACTGTCGCATTTCTAGTATGAAGCCACTCCTGAACCAGAGACAATGTCAGAAGATCTGGGCTGTTGATCAGTGGTCCAAAGTCCTCCTTTTAGATGATCGTAAATTTTGCTTTTTCTTTGAGAATCAAGGTCCAGAAGAAGAGGAACAGAACACAAGGTGTGAAGTTTCTGAAGTCTGTGATGATTTTAGGTGTCATGACATCTATTGTTCTGCTTCGTTTTATCAAGTCCAAAGTCAACCCAGCATCTGTCAGGAGATTTTAGAGACGTCACGTTTCCATCGGCTGATAAGCATCATGGACGTGCAGGTTTCCTTTTCTAGCAGGACTTAGTACCTGCCCAGAGAGCCTGAACGACTAGCAAATGGTCCTTTGACCATGACATTACTGTGCTTGACTGGCCAGCCTGTTGCCTGACCTGGACCCCATAGAACCCATCAAGAACACCAAACTACAAATGAGCTGAAGGCCGCTATCGAAGCAACCTGGGCTTCACCGCGGCAGTGCCACAGGCTGATCCCCTCCATGCCTCCAAGCCCCAACCAACTATTGAGTGTTTAAAGGAAGTGGGACATATCTGCATTATTGATCCTTTTTTACATGATCTTAGGAAATATTCTAATACTTGGAGATGCTGGATTTCTTGAGCTATAAGCCACATTCAATTAAAATAAAACAGAAAAAAAGCTTGAAATATTTTACTTTGTGTAATGAATCTAGAATATGTGAAACTTCAGCTTTTTTGAATACAAGTATTTCAAGACAATAGCTTTACTATGATATTTACATTTCTGAGATGCACCTGCATGTACTTCGGTGTTATTAATCTATTAACCACATGTCTGTGCTGATTGGTCTTCCCTCCCCAGACAGCATGGCGAAGAATAAGCAAAAAGGGAAAAAACAGAAGAATGTCTTTCAAGTGGCAAACAAACACTTGAAGACCAAGAACAAAGCGAAGCCCGTCACGTCGGCACTCAAACACGTGAGATCTCTTTCGTCTCTTTTACACATGCATTATGTATTCTCCCTTGCATGCAGCGCTTGTTGCACCTGCTACAGCATAATTTATGGCTTCACAGATCACTGCAGGGAAAAAGGAGAAGGTGGAGAGCCTAAATCAAATCTTCACAGAAGTCCAGAGGGATGTCACGAGCATTTCCAAGTCCGTCGCTCCCGAACCAAAGAAACAAACACAGGTAGAGGAGGAAACGGTGGACATTTAAAACTCACTTCAGCTTTTTCTTGATGTAATGACATGTATGTTTTGGCTTGTTAGGTTGTCAGAGAGCCACCAAAGGAATCCGTAAACGTAGATAACGCTGCTCAACTCTTCTCTCAGCTATAATGGACCATCGAGTACCAACTATCTTCAACAGCTGATCTGCTTTGTTTCCAACGCCTTTCGTCAAAGTGACAACTGCAGAATCAGAAGAAGCTGCTTCAACAGCACCACGCTAAACCTTATGTGTACCTCAGAATTTCTGTATATTCAGTGCAGGAAAATGTAATTAATCGACAGACTTCTGCACTGTCAGTCACGGTATCGTCTCAGAATAGATTTTGTATTTTTACTGATGGATGTTCTGTCGTTTGAAAATGTTTTGCTTCAACTAATGAGTATTTTTCATTGCTGATTATTCTGATTTTCTTCATTAATTTTTGTTTTCAAAATGTGAAAAGAGTAAAAAAAATGATCAGCGGATGTCTTCAAATCCAGAAGTGATTTATACGACAAACTAGATGTGGAATTGTGCCCAAACGATTAAACCGTGAACAAATTAAAATTGCCAATCATCATTCTGTTAGAGAGACAAACATATTCATTAACTGTTATTGTTTTACTTTGTTTATTAAACCTGATGTGGGATCCTTGTTCATCATTTTGAATCTGCAATAACTTTTTCAAAAGAATTATACAACCGTGCCCTCTTTGAGTTTTGTTTTTGTTGGCAGTTCAAGGTTTTCCCACCTTTTATTCGTGCGTCTGATTTAGCGCAAATGAAGTCACAAAGGACATCATCGTGACTGTTGTTTGCAAAGATTAAAACGCTTTACCTCAAGGAGTTTTAGTACCTATGGGCCTCATTTAAAATATGAAAATGTAGCAGCTGTCTCAGGAAAATACTGGATTTCTGCACAAATGTATGTGATGTGCTCGTTTTAGTCAGTAAACCAACATACTGCAAAGAAACCTCAATGTGATGGATACAGGGTTCATATTTTTTAGCAGCTCATATATGAAGCTGTATTTTGTGGTGTTCGACTGCCTCATGTCAGGTGTTTATGATCTTTCATCCTCCGCCGTATGCACAAAGCTCTACTTCAGGGCTTCACGCTGTCATTTCTATGAGAAGGGCACCTGAAGATGAAGTATAGATTTTCTTTTGGCTCCACCTGCGAGCCGTTATCAGTATGCTGCTGATGCTGCTGCATCCCGCTGGAGCAGCTTGACATCGGAGGTCACGGGTGTACCAGCGTCCAGCTGATTGCTTGTCTCCACGGCGACCTCTGACAGAGTTAGTTGGTCAATAAATCCGGGGCGAGGTGAAAAGCATGAGTGAGTCTGGTAAACAACGCTGACATAAATAAGCTAACAGATGAGACTGTCAAGGTGAAGAAGACATGACAGAAGTGTTTGCCTGACTGATGGCTTTAATCCACTGCAGGGAAGACGGCTCGTTACCCAGCAGAGGAAGCTGGAGGTGCTTAAAGCTGCAATAACGGTATTTTGGCCACTTGGGGGCAGCAGAAACAAGCTGCAAGCACAACACTGACATATCATCACGTTATAAACTGATATTATCAGGTTATTGGCAGTCAGCTGCTTATTTACACATCCAACAGACACACAGCAACATTATCATTCATTTATATTTATGTTTTTGTCGACCTAATGAATGTAGGTCCAATATTGACTCTATTTTTACCTCTGTTTTTGGTCTCTAACTCACGGTTTGTCAAAGACGGATTGGATCCAGATTCAAATGTTTCAAGATTAGCAAATTCAGATTACCAGCTAAATTGGACTTTGATGCTACTCATGATGCAAAGAACAACAGGTAGAACATCATGGCATGGGCTCACTTTAGTGGTTTTTATTTGAACAGACAGAAAACAGACAGATTTTACTTTAAATTTCTTTGACACGGTCTTACCCAAAACAAATATCAACAAAATGTATGCATTATTCACAAATACATTTTGAGCACAGTAAAACACATAAAAAGGCAGAATCTAAAAGCACAAGAAAGATTATTTGTGGAGAGACCAGCTAATTAAAATACTGCTTTCAGGAGGCATAATGACAACCATCTGTGACAATTAGTAAATGTTATACAGTGAAAAATGGCATTTATTTACAGCTGTTTATATTCTAGGTCGCCTTATATCCATTCTGTCTGCTTAATCAGTCTAACATTTAAAGAAATAAAGCACAAAATGTAAATAAAAATATCTGTATTGCATGATAGAAATGCATTATTTGACCAGTTTTATTACAATTTCTTCTGGAAGTCCGCCCTGACTCCACATGTCTGCTTGGATGAGGGTAATCCTGATGTTTCTGCATCACAGGTGTCACAATCCTACTAAACATCCTTGAACAGCACATTTTAAAGGTGTGATCTCAAAGCCAAGATTGGATTAAATGATCTAATCCGAATCTTAAAACCCTGTTTTTCTTTCTGAACGGCTTAACGCTGAGGGAAGTATCCGACTCTTTAGCTGCCACATCATGTTCTCATGTATAGCTGGTTTTAGGAGCTTTTTGCTGAAATATATCTGCCTGTTTCTTCTCAACAGCAAAGCTAGTGAGCATAAGTGTTAAAGTCAGAAGCGAGAAAACCAAAACAATTATGTGAAAGATGCCAAATCTCCTCATAAAACTGACATTAAAGTCAGCGAGTTGAACTATGGATGATAGAGGCTTTAAAGGGAGCAGAAGTGCTGAGAAAGACAGAAAACCTTCTTTTTTAGCACATTTACAAAAATGACAGCAGGATCTCAGGAAAGCTCAGCAAACAACAAACAGACACATTTGCTCTGATATCCATTCAATTGATGCCTCTGGGGCAAAAAAACATTCATTTCTAATACAGAGGAAAGGGTTTTCAGTTGGAAACGATTGGCGGGGAGAGCGTAGCAGATGCAGTGTTAAGGTGTCAGCCTGCGAGCAGGTGCTTCCCACTGTGATCCAGATGGCTGCACCAGAGCACAGTCAGTGGGGTTGCACCACTACACACCCTGGGGACACAAATATCATGCCAGCGCATGCACACATTGGGTTTTTAATGTAATCTACATGAGCTGGCGGGGGGTAGTCGGATCTGTGGGTGAGAGGACGAGGGCGTGTTATTGTGTTTGTGATGTTTTCTTGCTGCGAGTCATGCAAAAAATATCACAGAGTTCTAAAACTTACTCCCTTGATCCAACTTTCAAACTTAAAACGCCATCAATTATATATAGAAGCTGGCTCAGTCTGTCTCACATGCCAAGGATGTCGAGACAGACACTGCTAATGATGCTATATTTTATAGTTTAAAGTAAATAAGAGAGTTGCTTTACACATTTATCGTGGAGAGAAAAAAAAAAACTCCCAGAGACGTTTGATTGAAGCTCGTTAGTCAGTTACATAATTGAAAGTAATAAAAGGTGACGTTTTCGACAACCGCCGGAGCAGGAAACGTCCACAAGATGGTGCTCTGGACGGGCTTATCAATATGCATGGTGACAAGTGGGGGAAGTGGATCTGTAGGTGTGTGTGTCTGTGTGTGAGTTGGGGACACCGAGAAAGAGAAAGAGAGAAGTGTTCGGCTCGCTGAATGCCAATAAGAAGCTGAAGGCCTATTTGCAGTATGTCATTCTCACCACACAGCTGGGTTTTTCACTCTGACAGGACTAGAAGCAAAAGGTTACAGCACCTGCACTTCTCCCTGTGACAGAAATAAGAATCACTGTGTTTGTCTGTGCAGAAGAAAGACAGGCACAATATGCCAGTGTGTGTGTTGTCTGCTGGTGTTTGCCTATGCAGATTCGCTTTTCACGGCCATTTCAGATCGCAGCGGTTGTCACAACCCAGACTTGGCTGTTCCAAAGCGACGATGGAGATACTCTCTTCTGATTCCACTTTCTAAAGAATAAAAAAAACGGATGCTGTAGGTTTCGAGGACATACGGAGCATCATTAGCCTTTAAATGTCTGAATTAAAAATGCTTTTAAATCATTTGTCAAAGGGGAACTGTGAGCTGCTCAAAGCAAAACACTCTCAACTTTGAATCAAAGCTGTTTGAATATGAATTTAAAAGAATTGTGGCGTTTAAAAGGTCAGAATGCCGTCAAATTAAATTATAGTTGTTATGAAAATTTTAAAATATATCTCGACATAGGTATTAATCAAGCTTAATGAGGCAGAAATCTCAAAATTCGGTTTAAAATATGAAGACATTAATGTGCATTTAGTCTTTGCTGAAGCACATTTTGACTTGTCAGTGATAAACAACTCTCCCTTTTCTTAGTCGGCCCAACCTCCCTTTCATGTCTTTGGAGGCATTTTGCCAACGAGCTAGACAGCCAAGATTCAAATTATGATTAAAGTTTGCTCTTCAGACCAGGGTTTCTTCAAAGAAACAAAAAAATTCTCCTCACGCTCTCGTGCCTGCAGACTTATCTCATATGAAACTGTGTATTTAGCTTCAATCTTGGGTGTTGAAGTTGGGGGATTTTTGGCGGCAATCGTGCCCTCGGTGCGATTCTCCGTTTGATCGAGAGCCAGTGCCTCCGAAGGTAAGATTAAAACCATTGCCCCAGAAACACCGTCACCGACAGCTTTGATAAGGCTACCAAAGAGCTAGCATTGTAATTTTATTCATGTGATATCTTCGCTCGATCAGGAAAGAAGAGACGAACAGACAGATCTTCTGATATATGGAGTGATTCAAGGAGTCTCTCCCAGATTCTGACCCCAATCCTCCGCCAGATCCCTTTTTCTCTTTCTTTGAAATGGAACATCTGACCAACTTTGCCACGTTTATATCTGCAGGATGCTGAATATATCTTGTAGTTTTACAAGAACCGTATGAGGCTTTGAAGAACAGTTTGGCTCTAACAGTTGAGCTCTAATTTTAATTGACGTATTCAGTTGTGCTGTTTGTGACACCTGGGGTACATTTAAAAAAAAAGTCTTGATTAAGAGGCCTCCTCGCTGAGTTAATCAAAGTATTGAAGTGGTGGCTTTGATTAAAATGGTCCTAAAAGACAGATAATTTACTCTTTTGTCCTCCTCCATTCTTAGATACAAAGAAAAAATACTGTAATTCTGCAATCCCTTCCCACAGAAGTATATAAAGAACAAAGTCTTTGCATCAAGGTCAGGGAAGAAAGGGAATTTTTAAGACTTTACAGATCCAACCCCAGTGCCTGGCTGGTTTTTGAGTGGAAAAAAAAATAAGTTGAACTCAGAAACTTCGTCAAAATTAAACAAACATATTTTGAGATAAAGTTTGTTGATGCTGAATTGGATTCGGTCTGCAGGTGTTCATACCTGGGGCTAAACTGTTAAAAAAGAATCCGCTATGGTCTAAAATACAGTCGCCACGTTTCAAAACATTGATCACACAGTATGTTACCCACATGTCAAAGAGAAGTATAAGCTTTATACAGGTTCAGCTCCATAAATTCAGACCTGGGTTACTGCCTCGAAAGCTCACGACTGATCAGATTCTCTTTTATTCCTGCAGTTCTGCTCTAATGTAAAGCTTGCTACACGCGTTAATGTTTCATTGGTTGACCATTTAATGTGGTCTTGGTTTCAGACTTAAATGGGAAAATATATATTTTTTGTGATAAGGTTTGGTGTCAAACTCTTCATTCCACCATATGTGCACTTTCATTTGCATGTATTTATGCACGTTTTAAATCT